GTTGAGCATTTTTTTGTTTGTTAGCCATTTGAATATATTCTTTTGAGAATTGTCTATTCATGTCCTTAGCCCACTTTTTGATGGGATTATTTATTTTTTTCTTGCTAATTTATTTAAATTTGTTGTTGGTTTTGGATATTAGTCCTTTGTCAGATGTATAGATTGTGAAGATTTTCTCCCACCCTGTGGGTTGTCTGTTTATTTCTTTTACCATGCAAAAGCTCTTTAGTTTAATTAAGTCTCAGCTTTTATCTTTATTTTTATTGCATTTGATTTTGAGTTCTTGGTCATGAAATCCTTGCCTAAGCCAGTGTCTAGAAGGGTGTTTCTGATGTTATCTTCTAGAATTTTTGTAGTTTCAGTTCTTAGATTTATATAGTTTTAGTTCTTCCATTTAAATCTTTGATCCATTTTGAGTTGATTTTTGCATAAGGTGAGAGATGAGAATCCAGTTTTGTTCTCCTACATGTGGCTTGCCAGTTATCCCAGCACCATTTGTTGAATAGGGTATCCTTTCCCCACTTTATGTTTTTGCTTGCTGTGTCAAAGATCAGTTGGCTGTAAATATTTGAGTTTATTTCTGGGTTCCCTATTTTGTTCCATTGGCCTATGTGCCTATTTTTATACCAGTACCATGCTGTTTTGGTGACTGTGGTCTTATAGTATAGTTTCAAGTTGGATAATGTGATGTCTTTTCATCTAGTCTTGCTTTGGGTATGTGGGCTCTTTTTTGGTTCCATGTGAATTTCAGGATTGGTTTTTCTAGTTTTGTGAAGAGTGATGGTGATATTTTGATGGGAATTGCATTGAATTTGTAGATTGCTTTTGATAGTATGGCCCTTTTCACAATATTAATTCTACCAATCCATGAGCATGGGATGTGTTTCCATTTGTTTGTGTCATCTATGATTTCTTTCAGCAGTGTTTTATAGTTTTCCTTGCAGAGGTCTTTCACCTCCTTGGTTAGGTATATTCTTAAGTATTGTATTGTATTGTATTATTTTTGCAGCTATTATAAAAGTGGCTGAGTTCTTGATTTGATTATCAGCTTGGTCACTGTTGGTGTATAGCAGTGCTACTGATTTGTGTACATTAATTTTGTATCCTGAAACTTTGCTGAATTTATTTGTCAGTTCTAGGAGCTTTTTGGAGGAGTGCTTAGGGTTCTCTAGGTATAGAATCATACCATCAGGAAACAGCAACAGTTTGACTTCCTCTTTACTAATTTGGATGCCCTTTATTTCTTTTTCTTGTCTGATTGCTCTGGGTAGGACTTCCATTAATATGCTGAATACAAGTGGTGAGAGTGGGCATCTTTGTCTTGTTCCAGTTCTCAGGGGGAATGCTTTCAACTTTTCCCCATTCGGTATTATGTTGGCTATGGATTTGTCATAGATGATATTACATTGAGGTATGTCCCTTGTATGCTGATTTTGCTGGGGATTTAAATCATAAAGTGATGCGGGATTTTGTCAAATGCTTTTTCTGCATCTATTGAGATGATCATGTGATTTTTGTTTTTAATTCTTTTTATGTGGTGTGTCACATTTATTGACTTGTGAATGTTAAACCATCCCTGCATCCCTGGTATGAAACACACTAGATCATGGTGGATTATCTTTTTGACACGTTGTTGGATTCAGTTAGCTAATATTTTGTTAAGAATTCTTGCATCTATGTTCATCAGGGATATTGGTCTATAGTTTTCTTTTTTGTTTATGTCCTTTCCTGGTTTTGCTATTAGGGTAATACTGGTTCATACAATGATTTAGGGAAGATTCCCTCTTTTTCTATCTTGTGGAATATTGTCAATAGGATTGGTACCAATTACTCCTTGAATGTCTGGTAGAATTCAGCTGTGAATCCATCTAGTCCTGGACTTTTTTTTTGTTGATAATTTAAAAAATATGATTTCAGTCTTGTTGCTTGTTATTGGTCTGTCCACAGTTTCTAATTTCTTCCTGATCTAGCCTAGGAGGGCTGTATCTTTCCAGGAATTTATCCATCTCCTCTAGGTTTTCTAATTTATGTGTGTAAAGGTCTTCACAGTAGCCTGAATTATCTTTTGTATTTCTCTGGTATCAGTTGTAATATCTCCCGTTTCATTTCTAATTGAGCTTATTTGAATCTTTTCTTTTCTTCGTTAATCTTGCAAATGGTCTATCAATTTTATTTGTCTTTTCCAAAGGACTAGCTTTTTGTTTCATTTATCTTTTGTATTTTTTTTCATTTGTTTCAATTTCATTTAGTTCTGCTCTGATCTTGGTTATTTCCTGCCTTCGGTTGGTAAGAACGTTTGTTCTTCTTTCTCTGGTTTCTTGAGGTGTGACCTTAGATTGTCTCTTTGTGCTCTTTGAGACTTTTCGATGTAGACATTTAAAGCTGTGAATTTTTCTCTTAGCACCTCCTTTGCTGTATCCCAGAGGTTTTGATAGGTTGTGTCACTCCTGTAGTTCAGTTTGAAGATTTTTTTTTTCTTTTTTGAGATGGAGTCTTGCTCTGTCACCAAGCTGGAGTATAATGGCATGATCTTAGCTCACTGCAACCTCTGCCTCCTGGACTGAAGCAATTCTCCTGCCTTAGCCTCCCGAGTAGCTGGGGCCACAGGCGTGCACCACCACACCAAGCTAATTTTTGTATTTTTGGTAGAGATGAGTTTCACCCTGTTTGCCAAGATGGTCTTGATCTCCTGACTTCGTGATGTGCCCACCTTGGCCTCCCAAAGTGCTGGTATTACAGGTGTGAGCCACCGTGCCTAGCCACCAGTTTGAAGAATTTTTAAATTATCGTTAAAAGGATTTAATCATTAAGCATGTGTGCAGACTATGTGTCTTCGTTTCAGTCACCACTGACAAGTTGTACAAAAGTACAGTACATTTGTCAGTTGACAGTATATTCCACATTATTGAAAACATTTTATTGTGAAATGTCTGCTTTTCTATACAAGAATACATTTGGTCCAATAAAATGCTAGCATTTCTTATAAAGTACGACTTTTTATGCTAAATAAAATTATTATATTTTTTTCAACACATATTTTTTGTTATACTATTATCACAACACAAAAGCAGTACCTTGGAATCTCTGAACAATATTTATCCTGGAGAAGATACTTGTTGATAATTTTCATGGAAATATCTGAGACAAATAGTTCTTTTCCTTGTGTGTTGAGAAATCAGTAATGTAGCTACAATTTTAGAATGTTAGGCACAAAGTCATTCTAAATTCCTGTTTTTACAGTGTATTGATTTTATTTATTTGTTTGCCCTTTAAGATACCAATTATAGGTGATGAAGCAGAAAAATTGTATGACTTTACCTTATGATAAAACTTTCTTTAGAAAGTTTTGTATAAAATACCAATACCAAACTAGTCTCTTGTAAAATACTTTCTACAAATTGAAAATCTCTGTCTCCTTACGTTGTGTTTTAAACCTTTATTCCAGATATAGGAACCATTTTTCTTTTAATGATCCCTGAAAAGATAAATCAAGGGGTGAATTAAAAAAAAAGGCAAACAGTCTTTAGTCATTATATTCATTAAGAGCTCTAAGCCTTATGTCTTTTCCTTAAATTATTGCTTAGCTTTTGCAAGGCTTGTAGGTGCTGAGGATTAAAATATAAAAAAGACATTCTTTATTGAGATTCCAGACTACCAAGAGACAAATATGACAAATGTTTAAACAAGTGAAGGATTGGTACCAATTGCGTTCTGTATGGGATAGCTATTGTAACTGAACAAATTAGTAGATGGTAGTTCTCTTGATTGCAGTGACTCATCCCAAGCATATTCTTCTTAACTTTTAGGTTTGGTTTTTTTATTGTATTTTGTATTTTTGTAATTCTTTTAGTCTATAGATAGCTCAAAATATTGTCATACTCTTGTGATAGATGTTGCATATTTGCAGCATTCAAGGGAATCATCCTAGACTATCTGTTGGTTATTTAGCAGTTCCTTTTGGACTTTACTTTTTTTGGTATTTAAAAAATATAAGCATACTTCTTTGGCCTGTTTGCTAGATATTTGTCTCTTCAGTATATAGAACATTCAGATAAAGTATATACATTTTAACGACACTTTGGAAGGTTTCCGAATGGCTAATTAAATACAAATAGTCTTCAACCTGTAATTTCACTTCTACTTTAAGTGTTAAAAATTCCTGAATATAATATGTTTTGTAATACAGACATGTAAAACTAAATTACAAAGAGGTAAATATCTGAAAAAAAGTAGAAAACTTTAAATATAACCCTTGATTTTGTGTTAACATAAAATGAAGTTGGGGAACACATTCCCATACATTACTAGAGTTGGGAAAATACAGCCCATATGGTTGCTAAAGCTCCAATTGGAGTAATTTGAAGAAATTAATAATGTTCATAAATATTCACATTTTTAAAGTGACATCTGCAGGTGTGAGTAAAAACAATCAGATTTGTAAAATTTGGAAGTAATGTCGTCTGTTTGTTCTTTTCATTATCACCAAGAATATTCCAGATTGAGTTGGGAATAGGAGTAAATGAGTTTAATTTTGAAAGCCTACTTGCAATCGAATATCCTTTGTAGCTGTTGTTGCCAAGTACTTTGAAAGTTAAATTTCTACAGATCTAGGCATGAATAACATATATTTCTTATGTTGTAGACCTAATAAGACAGACTATAGGTAACCCATGGTTTTTATATTTGTTTTATAGTCCTGCTGGATTAAAATATTATTGTAATACTTCAAGAAATAGACTAATAAAGATTTTTACACTCATTATTTAGGAATTATCAGGCCTTTTGGAAACAGTATATGGAAACTGGCCATTGTTGAGTGGTTGTACTATGCAATTTTGCTACCATTTTGAATTAGTATAAAAATGAGTGGCAGTTATAATTTTTATTTCATCTTTGAAATATTATTCTTTTACACATCCTTATAACCTTTATTTTTTAGGAGAGAGTAATGACAAAAAAATCTCTATTGAAATAAGTTTAATAACTAAAATATTTCCTAGCTTTCAGCTTATATGGAGAAGTTGCTGTGAAGCCACCTATAAATCCATTTACTGAATTTATGGAGAAGCCTATAAATGATGGAAGTCATTCAGAAGAACTCTTTTCACATCTTAAAACTATGTCAGAGAAAGAAGATTTACCGCGGTGTACCAGTGAAAGTCATCTCAGCTGGTATTCTCATCAGTATCAGGGGAAATCTAAATTTCTGCTTTCAGGATTTCCTGTTTAGTCCATAATATAAATTATTTGAATCAAATACAGCATTCTTTTAAGAGTATCTTCTTCAAATCTAGTGTTTATTTATTAAAATATGTTAATTTAATCTGATTACAAATGTACTTATCTAGCAGAATTCAGCTAGCTTTTTTGAATCTGAGTGAAAGCAATTAAAAATGAAAACCATGGCTCATGCCTATAATCCCAGCTTTAAGAGGCTGAGGCAGGTAGATCATTTGAGGTCAGGAGTTCAAGACCAGCTTGGCCAACATGGTGAAACTCCATCTCTACTAAGAAAAAATGCAAAAATTAGCTGGACGCAATGGCGTGTACCTGTTGTCTCAGCTACTTGGGAGGCTGTGTTGTAAGAATCACTTGAACCCGGGAGGCAGAGGTTGCAGTGAGTGGAGGTAACACCACTGCACTTCAGCCTGGGTGACAGAGCAAGACTACATCTCTCAAAAAAAAAAAAAGAAAAAAAGAAAAAAAAAGAAAACCTCATCTGTTAAGAATTTATAAAATAAAGCTATTTAAGATAAATGAAAATATAATATGTGATATCAGAAATGTAGTTAATGAATGTGAATTCACTGTCATTTGGTGTATTACTGTATAGCAAATACTGTCATACTTCTTTAGAGTGGGGAATACACTTGTTATTTATATGAATTATTGCCCCCTACTAAATGGCAATTTTAGTATACCATTATTGTCAGTATGGGTAGTTTAGTCCAGCTTCTAGTTTAACTTGTTTTGAGTGAAAATATTTTATCATCTATATTCATACTTGACTTTCTGCCCATGGTTTTTAATAAGGGGCAGGTGTCGTTCATAGCTAGAATCTTCTTAGGCTCATGACTTTAAGCCGTTTGTACTTAAGAACACACATATTTTTGACATAGCCTCTAAGATGCCATCAGTTGTTAATGAGCCATTATATTATGTTTTACAAAGAAGGAGAAAAGCTGCCAATTAAAGAAAGTGTCACTTGGAATTTTATTTATCACTTGGAATTTTACTTATAAATATTGAAAATGCTCCTTCAAACTTAATTTACATACATGTTTAATCTAAATAACTCTTGTGATTACAAACAAGTAAAATGTAAGTAAAATAAATCACTGAAGGTATTCTTAAAATTTGCTTACACTTAAAGTCCAAGTTTCCAGATACTTTTGGACTAAAATTTATCCTTGCTGTTAAGAGTACTGTATTGGTCATATGGCATTTCTGAGGAGCATCTTTAAATGAAGTTGGATTTAACTTAAATTTTGTATGTACATTTGTAATTAGCCTGAAGCAGGACATCCTAAATGAAAAGACTGAACTGGAAGCAACACTTAAGGAAGCAGAGTTGGTAACTCATTCTGTAGAGTTACTTTTGCCATTATTTAAGGACACCATTGAAGAGATTAATTTTGAAAATGTGAGTGACTTATGAATATGTATAAAATGAAAAGCTAGTATAATACTCAGAATACATTAACCTAGGTTTCATATCTTATGTAGGTATGCTCACATATGAGTATTTAATGCGAAAAGTGAGGGTTTTCCAGAATTCTTTATTCCCATGTAATTAACTACAATTCTTTTCCTGAAAGATAATCTCAGGCATACACCTGATAAAAGGCTAAGCAAGAAACAATATATTTTGGTGCTTGAATTACCTGGAGTTGAACTAGAAAATCAGCTTTTCTTAAGAGTGAATTTAAAACTAGAATCTTCTGAGAGATGAAATATATCTGTTTTCTATAGTATTATTTGGAATAGAGGACTATTTGTAAGTTTCAGCATATAAAGTTTAGGGACAAACAATAGATTATCTTCTATAATTTTTATTTAAATAAATGCTATTTAAGCTCTTTATTTTGATTTCATTTTATTTTAATGTACTGTATAACATCTAATTTATTAATAATTTTATAACATTTCTTATTACTATGCACAAAAGAATGATTTTGTTAGTAAAAAATATTGTTTGTAATATCATATTTTAGAGGGTTTTACTTAATGCTATGTCTTAAAATATTTATGTGGTTCTTATAATTTGTCAGGCCAATCTTTCTGCATTGAATTTGAAGAAGATTTCTGAACAGAAGGAAATATTAACAAAAGAATTAGATACCTTCAAAAATGTAAAACTAGCTTTAGAACATCTTCTTAGAAAGAGAGACTACAAACAAGTAAGACATCAACACTAAGCACTCATTAAAGAGTGTTATTTCTCATTTGAAGGGTACATTATTTTTAAACTATAGACATTATTGGTATATTTGAAATGGAAATAATTCTTTGAATTTTTATTTGAAATGGCAGTCATTAATCCCTACCTTTAATGTTTCATAAATAGTTCTTTTTTTTTTTTTGAGACGGAGTTTCGCTCTTGTTACCCAGGCTGGAGTGCAATGGCGCGATCTCGGCTCACCGCAACCTCCGTCTCCTGGG